TAAAAGGAAATCAAATTATAATATAATTCATTGGTTTTTTTTCTTTCCCAAAATTATAATTATTGTATTTATCTTGGAATTTAATGCTTGTGTGAAGAAAAATAATTTCTAAGCGGCATAACTGCAATGAGTATTTGTATATATATTATTGTGTTTTATATGTAAAGCAAGAGGGATAATCTTGCCCTTAGAATTTGGTCGATAAAAGTGTTGGAATCTGCAGTTAATAAAGGTTATGAGATACAGAAACGATCATAATGGATTTATTTAAAGAAATAGTTTTTATTTTATCTTTTTTCATTTAAAATATATATATATCAAAATTAAACATAATTTAATATTCCAATTTACATATCACGATCTACAATTATTGCCCTAAACAGTAATCATTTAAATGTAGATATATATTAACGCTTTAGACAAAAATAAATAAAGAAATATATTATAATATGACAATAATTAATGCCTTTATAAACATTAAACTTTTAATTGAAATAAAACATTATTATATACAACATGTAACAATATGGAAATAAATTTATGGACATTGAAATAGTGGTTTGGAGTTGATTTTAAATAATATATATATAATAAATAGATATAATATAAAAATAATTATCTATTGTATAAAAATTGATTAATAAATAAATATAAAAAGTTAATTATATAATATTAAACAATTTTTAAAATAATAATAATATACTATAGAAAAATTTAATAAAAAAATTTCCGTAAGATGGAATATTTAAAAAAAAATTAATTTGGATATTTTTTCGTATAACTAAAATAGCGGTTTAATTACAATATAATATGAATATATATTTTATAATAAGAAATAATATAAATTGAAAATTCATATACAAGATTTTAATTTTTAAGAAAAGATAAATTGATAAATTAAAAAATGAAAGGAAAATTAAAAATAACCCCATATAATTCATAAAAACATATGAAATTATATTTTATATAATGAAAAAAAAATTATTGGCCTAAAACTATTTATATTTTTAATTAATTTTTAACATATTTATTTTAAATTTAAGCTTTCTTTTCTCTCAAAATAATGAAATGAAATGTTTTTATATCTGGGATAGGAACTATTTGCAAATTTAAGGGATCCTAATTCCTGATCTAGCATATGCGGTTCAAAGAAATATTTTTTAACTGCATCTGAAACAAATATCTCGTAATAGATAGAAAACCCTCAAATAAATTATGAAAATGATGCTAACAAAAAAACAGATATAAACAACACAGTTATTCATAAATTCAGACGTTGAGCAGTTTAATTTAATATAAACCAATCATCAGTATTCAACATACTATACCAGAATAGAGTGTATTAACGTTTTGGGAAAAAAACGACAACTTCCTAATTTAGCTAGGAAAGTACTTTGTATAACTGCAGCTAGTAAACCTAACAAAATATTTTTTTCATCGGTGGATTAATAGTCAATACCAAAATATCCCTTTATACCCCACCAATTAGAGATCTGCAAAAGAAGGCCCATCCCGTACGGTCATCAGGTCGAGCCTAATATTCTTTAAAAAAATTCGGGCCAGTTCTTGGAAATTTTTTTTAAATGTATCTAAATTTATGAATTTTATGTTGAATTTTTTATGTAAAATAAAAATATTTGATTTTATTTATAGAAACTAGACGCCATGTAACATATATCTTTTACTTTGAGTAATTAAATTTCCATATTTCAATAAATTCGGGTTCGTGCCGGCAAAACATTTCTAAAAAAATTTCGGGCCGAGCTTGAAAAATTAGACCCGATACAGATCACTACCACCAATCTCGACAAATTATATTTATTTATATTATTTTCATTCCAAGTTTATATAATTGTTTTAATAAAAATCAATATTACTGATACCACTCTGACCTGAGTAAAAAGGTTCCTATTCTAATTCATAAGAGAATTAATATGACATAAATTTGCATAGGGGTAGGAGAGAAATTTAAAAATGAAATTTTATTAACACGTTGGAATATATTGTTTTACAAATTAATTTACTTTTTAAAATGTTAGGTTATAGTGATTCAGCAAACAATTTAAATAAAAGCACCAATGATTGACTTAAGACACACAGGTTAAATCATTATAATATAAATAATATATATAACATTAAATATATATATCCATTAAAAAGCTTCAAAAATATTTAGGAAACGCTAAATAGATCAAAATCTATATGTAAAAATTAATTTAACAATATTCATTATAATAAAGACACAATTCTAGAATCATAATATAATAAAAAAAATCTTTTGATCTTTAGTTGGACAAATCTTTAGGGCGGTGAAATTGGCGGAAGGATTTGAGGTTCAATTATCAAAATATATGCCAATATTTCGAGTCTTAATTGATTTTCAAACCAGACATCAGTGGTCAAAGGTTTAGAGTTAAAAGCAAAATAAGGAAAATGTGAAATTTTGATGCCGGTGAAACGATTTGAGGGTGTAGCCCATTAATTGATCAATCTTTTATCAGGATAGTAGCGGAATGAACCTTTACTGAGTAGTGAGCAAAATAAGAAAATGTTGGCACTTTGCCATAACCGAAAATATAAAAGAAAATGTTCTGAAACTTGACAATTATTTAGTATTCAATATGTATGTTAATAATCCAAACCGCATATCCGTATCAATAACCGTAACCGGTTATTTAACAGCGTGAAGTTAGCGGAATTATTTTTAAAAAAATGTGGATCAATTAGCGAAAATTATGTCAAAGTGTAGTGCGTTAATTGATCCTCCAGAATCTTTAAACAAAGATATCAGCGGAATAAACCGTTTGTGAGTTATAAGCTAAATAGAAAAGTTTTAACATTTTGCCAAAATTTAAAATTCGAGCAATCATTAAAGCCAATATTTAGTGCCATAATTGATCCACCGTATTCTTCAAACGGAAAAGTGAGATATCAACAAAGTAAGAAAAGTGTGCATTTTGACTGGCGGAACGATTACCAAAGCATTTACTATTTTGTAGCCCAAAAATTGATCTTCTCCGGAAAACAGTGGAATGAACCGTTCGTATGTTATGAGAAAAATAAGAAAGTGTTGGCACTTTGCCAAAACAGATAATAAAAAAGATTATATTTTGAAACTTGGCAATTATCTAGTATTCAATATATATGCATTAAAAATCTCTAAACCGGATATCGGTATCATTAACCGTAACGAGTTAAAACCGTTGTTTTAAAAACGTGAGTTAGTGTAATTATTTTTAGAAAGTGAGGATCCATTACCGAAGATTATGCCAATGTGCAGCCAGTCAATTGATCCTCCAAAATCTAGAATACTAAATAATTGTCAAGTTTCAGAACATGATCTTTTATATTTTCATAAGTAGCAAAGTGCCAACACTTTCTTTCCGCTTCTGTCCGGATAGAAGATCAATTAAGGGGTTATACGATGGTATAAATTTCTGTAATTGATCCTCAAATCGTTCCGCCATCTTCAAAATTTCACTTTCCTTATTATATTTAAAACTCATTATCTTTATATCGCTGATGTCTGTTCGAAGATCAATTAAGACTCTAAATATTGGTATAGGATTTGTTAATTGATCCTCAGGTCGTTCCGCCAACTTCAGGGACCTCAAATCTTTCTAGCGTATATCAAGAAAGGATGTCTTTTATAAATTTTCAAAAATAGACTGGGGCCAATGTCCAAACGCAATTTCTACTTTTGGCAATTCCAACTAAAAGCTCTATATTAAAAGAGGTCTCAATAATATTGTTTTTGTTACAATTAAATTTAAATTAAGTAAAGCCTTTATGATAAACAAATTATATAATTACATATTTTATTTCAAAATACCAATGATTGACTAAGATATACATTAAATTTATAAATCTTTTTTAACTAATTAAAAAGAAAATTAAAATAATCAAAATATTTAGTGTTGCATGACTAATATATACATTATATTTACAAATCTTTTTAACTAATTAAAAAATCATCAATATATTGAGTGTTGCATGACTAAAATATACATTAAATTTACAAATCTTTTTAGTAATTATGTAAAAATTGTCAACATATCGAGTGTTGCATATTGAATATTTTCCCAATAAAATCAATTTACATTCCTTGCATATCGTTCTTTCTATTTTTAATAAAGAAAAATTGGATATAAATATGATTAACATTTCAAAACCCAAAATAAGGTTAAATTTTCTAAATAAAAATTTTAAACAGCTGAACCTAACCGAACTTTCATAGATAATGATGGCTAATGACCCTGCACGTCCAACGTGTTAAACACGTCATTTATTTATTATTATATAATATTTAAAAAATCGATTAGTTAGCAGACGTGTTCAAATCCAGCAAGGGCCGGGTTCTTTTCTAAGGTCAACTTGGTGGGATAATATATATAGTATATCGGACTCGATCACGTGATTACTTTAATATATATTAAAAAATAAGCGAGTCTTATAGTGCGCACAAATTGAACATTTCAAAACGCAAATAATGCATTTTAATTGCATTCGTTTAATTTGAGTACGTTTGCATTTTGTATTTTAAATTATTGATATGCGTTTTAAAACGCTGCGTTGAAACGCTCAATTTGTACGCACTATTATTTATTTTTGATAGAATATGGTTAAGGTTTAGAAAATTGACGTGCATGGCTAGTGTTGTCAATCGGCGCTATAAAGATAGCACCCAAAGCAATATTAAGAAGCCTGGAGATTTTGCACATAGGTGGTAGAAGAACTTGGACCTCTATTTTCCAAATTTCGAAACCTACAAACATTATTTAGGCTAAAGTAATCAGGCCGTTTAACAGCACTTATCACTAGCCAATAACGGTTTGGGTCTGTAATGTTTAAGTCAACAAATTGGAGAAATGTCAATGGTTAGAATTAAATAATTCACAATAACCTCTATTCATAATCCAATAACTTGTATTCAAATATTAGGAGATTTGGAACTTAAGCAAGCCTATACTAAATATATTATATATTTTTATTGCAAAAAATTTTGATCATCACAGTATGTCACATTTATTGGTATTTTCTTGATATTTATAAAATTGTATCAAATTGTAAAAAAATATATGCATTCATATAAAAAAGAGAGGAAAGTAAAATAAATGTCAGCTGGAAAATAAATTACAAATAATATTTTACAATGTTCTTAAAAAATATATATTATATACATTATACCATAATTAAATAAATCCCCGAAACCGCTTTCATATTATATATATTTAAATGTAAGATATAAATATTTAAACAGATTTAATCTTTTGAAAAATACTTCTAGATATAATTATAAAAATAATTTATAATTCTGATTTCTTTTTAGGCTTTCCTTTTCTGTCCACATGTGTCAATTCATCTGTAGCATGTTTGGCTATATAGGACACCATTCCGTCAGTTTCTCTGGGACCCTATTTGGTTTATTTAAAATATGTATACATTTTTTTAGAATTTAAAACTAATTGTTATAATTTGAAATAGGTTCAATATTTTGAAGACTTACATCATATGGAATGGGAGAATCTTTTTTATTCTTAGGAACCCAATATAAAGTTGGATATCTAAACATTTAGTTTAAAATAGAGAAAAATATTATTGTAATCAAAATTTTGTTTAAAAGATATTACCCTTGAACTTTGTAAATCGATGGAACATCATTAGCTGTTGCATCCATTTTTGCAATGACTATATCATGTTCACTTTCTAACTAAAATTAAAGAGTAAAATTAACAATTTAACATGTATAAATTGAGCCTGAAAAAAGTATACAATTTTATAAATTCAAAATGATCCATTTAGTTATTATAATTCCTTGCAAATGCCAATTCTTTAATTTAATAAGGGTCTCATCTTTGTTTATAGATTTCATTATGAATAAAGACATTTAAATATATAAGTCTGTTGTTTTTTAAAAAGGACTAACAATATTTAGAAAAATATTGTGCAAGCCTAGAGATTTCACTAGAATATGTCTAAAACATGCCATCTACAAGCAAAATTTGCAGGATAAACACTAACAACCCTGGTTTAGATAATAATTATTAATAAAATATACCTCTTTAGCCAATGCATCATATTTTGGAGCTAATGACTTGCAATGTCCACACCAGGGTGCATAAAATTCGAGAAGAACATCTTTGGTCTTATCATTAACAATATCATCAAAATTTTTAGCAACTACTACCTATAAACAATCAAAAAGTTTTAAAAAATTGTTAAATTTTTAGACTCAGTTCATTATATAATATAAAAAAATTCTTGAATTATGTTATAAAGGCTATCTTATTTGTAATAAGATATTATTTGAATATAAGCTATCATTGTAAATTAATTATAAAAAAGTATATATAGACAGCATTTAATAATAAAGCCATTGACCATATAAAATAATGGATATAAAATTTTGTGGATAAAGTATATGGGTTATGTAAACTATTAGACAGTTATAGAAATTATTTTTAAAAAAATTAAATAAATTTTAGAAATGGGTGACATTATAAAAATATTTATAAAAGAATTTCATTTGGACTATATTAGATATATAGATGTAAAGAATATTCCACAAACAAGCGCTACATAAAAAAAAGTATTTGATTTATTTTATTGGGTGGATATACAATACAAAAATGATATATAAGATTATGGGCAGATATATAATATGAAAATGATATATAAAATCAAGGTAGCAATAAAATATAATAATCAACTCATTTCATCATATGTTATCAATGAAAAAAATTACAATAAAAATATTGACTGATGATTCTGACTATTCAATAAAAAATATAAAATGTTTAAATACTTTATGGCAAAATACAACAAAGAAAAAAAGTTATTTTAGATCGTAAAATGAAATTTTTAGAATCCACAGAAAAGAATTTTTAAAATCCTTAAGATAAATGCCACATAGAAAGTTCCAAAAACCAGGGATTATAAATAAAAATAAGGATTTATAGAGTTAATATTACTAGTAAGTGCATCTAACTAACAAAAATATAATAATAACATTGCCTAACATTTAACACAAATTTGTAGTGACATATATAAAAATGATTGTAAATATCATTTTTTGTATATTTAGGGCACTAACTGTGAAAACAGGGTAAGGGAGATGGATTAACAAGTAGGCTTAATAGCACTAAATGAATTATTATACAATAGGCAAAGCAAAAAACTAATATGAACAGTTAATAAATATATTAATATAATAATAGAGATAAATTAACAATAGCATATGTCAGATATCTGCAGAAGTACCATTCATGGCCTGGCCCTGATTTAAAAATTTTTTTTGGCTGGCCTTTGTCTTATATTTTCAGGTCCACCCAAATTTTATTAAATAGATATATTTATTTTTAACTTCTAGTTAATAATGGTGATTTAAAATATTCAGCTTAGCCAGAGTATTTAAAAAAATTAAAATATGGCCCAGCCTGGATATCTGGGCTAGGCCTGCAGGTCTCTAGTGTATGTAATATCCTAGGACTCAGGAATATTACAAGCCATAATTAAATTATTCTACAACAGACAAAGAAGCAAAACACCAATATAAGCATATAAATTATCAAGTAAGCATTATATATTAATGCAGATATTTTATAGCAATCCAATAGAGAAAAGGAATAATAAAAGAAGCTAAATTATTTTCCAACATGGAAGAAAAAGAAAAGTTCAAATACATTCTAATAAAATAATAGAAACACTAAAAATTTCAAGTCCAAAATATGATTACCAATGTAGACTTGAACTTGGGGAAAATTAAGATATGTTGTCTCAGTTTATAATATAATAAGTTATTGTAATGTTATAAAAGTTATCTTATTTAAAATACAATATTATTTGAATATAAAGTTATTGCATTTAATAATAATATATCATTATAAATTAATTATAGAGGTAATTGTAAATTGAATAACTTATAAATCACATAGTATATAGTAGTGATCTGCATCGGGCCTAATTTTTGCAGACCATTTTTTTAAAAAAATTTTGCCGGCCTGATATGAACCTGACATTTTTTTAAAAGTTTTGCTAGCCCAGCCCAAATTTTTTAAAAAAAATTTACCAGCCCAGCTCTGCCCAAATTTATTAGAGTAATTAATTTTAATAATTACTCAAAATAATTTCAATAAATAAAATCAAATATTTTTATTTTACATAAAAAATTCATAAATTTAAAAAAAATTTCCAAAGTCTGACCCGACCTGAATTTTTTAAAAAAATATTAGGCCCAGCCTGAACCCGATCATTTTAAATAAAATTAGGCACGAGTCTGCGGACTCGGGCTGGGCCTAACTTTGCAGATCTCTAGTATATAGACAACATTTAATAAGAAATACTACAATCGACCATATATATATATCAGATATAAGAGAAATTAAGTTACTTTAACACCAGCATTATTTGGATCAGGGATTGGTTCAGATTTTAAATGAGGTTTAATATCACCATGTAAAAACTTTTTAATAAATTCTGCAAAATTAGATTCACTATATTAAATAAAGTAAAGAAAATAATGTTAAGTATTAACGTAAAATCTTCTTCCATGACATATTTCTGCCCCTTATTATTGAAACATCCAATTTTTGGTTTAATCTTCATGTTCTCAGAAGTTGGTTGATGATCTGTTGGAACATCAAATCCAAATAGTTCCATTTCATGAGCCAATTCAACAAAATGACTAACACCCATAGATAAACTAGCTCTATCAATGCTATTGTTATACAGGGCTCTTATTATTCTGAAAAATAATAATAAACCAAATTAACACATTCAATTCTAGCTATCATAATAATAAATCAGACCTATCATTGAGTATCATATTTATTCACATAAATAGTAATTCATCATTCAAAAAAAATTTATTTTTTAATAAATTACCTATTACGCCAAAAGTTGGAATCTAAATATTATTATTATTATATATAATAATCAAATTAAATACTTTTTGGATTGTTTTTATAATCAATAAAATAATATGCAACACAAGAAGGTTCATTAAATAGTTTAGAATTTTGAATATTTCTAGGATCACCAAAAGCAGGCCTAATAAATGTATTTTAAAATATACTCATTTAAAAAATAATATACAGTTTGGAGTCGATAAATGATTTCATTTCATTATAAGATGTTAATTTAGAAATATATGAGTTGGGCAAATAATTGTTCCGCAAGTCAGTTGGTGCATAAATTACTATTTTGCTAAAAGAAATTAGTAATAACTTTCAAAATAAATTTAAATACTCTTCTAAATTATCTATAATTTTTGGATCCTTTACAATGGCAAATTTATAATTAGATTTATAGTGTTTGGCCAAATTTTTAAAATCCTCCAATTTTTTGTCATTTGTAGACAATGCTAATATAATAAGTTATTTTAATACTATGAATGAAAAAATTACCAACTATTTGATATTCATCTTTTAATCCCATTTCATTTTTATTAGTTATTTCAGTATAACTTGGACTTGTGTGGAATTTAATAAAATTAATCAGGCCAGCTAAAAAAATATATAAAAAATATAAAACAAAAAAAATATTAACATCTATCTCTTGGAATATCAGAAATGACAGAATCATAAACGCCATTTTTGAATACTTTTAAGGTTGGATAACCTGAAACATCATGTTTTTTACAAAGATCTGCATTTGCTTCACAATCAACCTATTATTACTGTAATTATATCCTAAAGAAAATTAAGAACTTTGGCTATGAATCCATGTAAGCCATCTTTTTTAAGTTGGTCTGCCGCAGCATTATATTCCGGTTCTAATTTTTTACAATGTCCACACCTGCAATTCAGTATTATTTAAAATAATTTATGTATAAAATTACCAAGGAGCATAAAATTCCACAAGCTTAAAATCACCACTTACCTCTTGTTCAAAATTATTCGGGTCAAGTTTAACAACATTATTGTCACCGGCAAATACTAAATGAAGAAATAGCAAGGAAGCTAATTTTATGTATAATTCCATCTTATATAAATGAAAATGAATGATAAATTAAATTGAAAATATAATAAAATTCGTCGATTCACAATTGGCCAAAATATTACAAAAAACGTGTCATAAAGGAAATAAATAAATCCACATAAATTATTTGTTTTTTATAAAATTGATTTATATAATATTATAAATATTTTAACTTATATTTTAAAGGACTTTTATTTGTAATATTATATTAGCTGTGTCAAGGAAATAAATAAATCCATATAAAGTGTTTGTTTTTTATAAATTGACTTTGTAGTAATATTAAATTACTAAATAAAGATAAATATATTAATATATATTATAAGTATCGAAGGTTCTAAAAAGAGCTTAATATGATGAATATGTACCTAAAAAACAAGTGTTTAAAAAGTTTTTGTTTAATAAATAAAGATTCGCGATTTTCGTTTATGTTAAAAATTTTTCGTGATTAAGTTTTTTTAAAAAAATACGTATACTGTAATAAATTGCCGTTAGTTGATATGAATATTGGCTGAAATAAAAAGTTATTTAATTTTGAATATTTATTAAAATTTTTATTTTCCCCACAAGTAAGAGGTTTTGAATTAATTGATGAAGGAAAGGAGGAGATGCAGGTTGCTTCTAATAACGTGATTTCCCATTGGACCAGGGGGGTTCAGGTAAACCGTCGGGTCTGAGACCATCCTGTAGTGTACCTTACATTTTAAAGGTCTTTTATCTATAATTATATTAGCTGGTATTGTTTGGAGGCTATAAATCAAATATTTAAAGTATTAATTGTAAAAGTTAATTGGATATAAAAAAACATTTGAATATATAATATAATATTATAACAATTTTGAATCATACTAATGATATAATATTAAGTTATGTTAAAAATTATTTTATTTTTTAATTTATTAAATTGCTAATATTATATATAAATAATTTGAATCAAGGTAACTGATTATTAAATTTTCTTGTTAATCGCTAATAATATTTTAAAATTACATTTTTTAATAAAACTATATTGTTTTTATATTTATTGCGCATATATTTTATTCCAGTTCTATATTCCATGAATAATAAAATTATGTATTCATAATATATATAGATATATACTTTAAATCTTGCTTTTTCTTCATTTTAACTTTATTTATGTGTAAGAGTTAGACTGTAATAAAGTGCTGTATGAATAATAAAATATATTCTTTAAAATTGATAATATATTGACTTTTTGTTTTATATCAATTTCAATTACAATTTATATTTATTATTTTTTTTATAACACATTTAAAATTTTTATATCCAGTTTTATATTACTTTAAAATTGTATTAACGCGTTAAATTTTGATATATAGTTTTAAAAATTTTTAAGATTATTATAAGTGTGATGTTAAATTGAAGGAAATTTAGAAAATATAAAATTGTACCATGATTTATTTAAACTTAAAGCCTACTATTTTCAACAAAAATAAACTAATTTCATTTTAAATTAGAAATTTGGGTTAAATTAGGCACAAAATGTCATGTTATATCTCCCCATTTGTCCCGTATAACTTATTTCTTTTCTTAACGTTTTTCTCCACTTGTTTCTTTTGTTTTCCCATCTTCCTTTTTTTTTGTTATGAAATTGATATTATAACTTATTTTTATTTTGCATTTGAAACTGGTTCTAACCAGTTTCAAGAATGATTGTATCGCGATTATATAACAACCTTATTTTTTTCTCTTTGTTTTAAAAATTATAAAGGTTGGAAAAATACCTTTTTCTTGACCATTAATGATTTTTCTGTTTTTGTGAAATTTAAAATACATTTCTAATATGAATAATTATTGTGCGTAGTTTTTATTATTTTGTGAATTGTGACATTTAAACAATAAAGTAAATTACTAAAGTTATCCTGAATGATGACTAAGATAAAAACCGGTCCCAACGTCAACCAACCTGAAAATCCCGGTCCCACGAATTCTGTCGATCCCACTCCCTATCCCACGGTAGAAGCGCTCGCGATCGTAACAACGCAACACTGGCGCCCAACGTGCTTTCGATATTCTACGACCCGGAAGAGCCAACGGACCATTACCCCGAACGTTTTATGCTCATCCACCGACATCAGCCTGAGTCAAATTTATTATCCTTATTCTTATCATCGTGTGGTCACAGCCTATATACAAAATTAAAGTTAGCTTTTGCACCAAGACCTATGATAGAACTTTCAATAGAGGACGTAAAAACGATTCTGGGGAACAATAATAACAATAAAGGACTATCGATCAACAAGCTTTGTCAACGCATCCAGCAAGATGGCGAAACGATTACTGAATAAGCAGAAGCTTTGATAGCTTTGGCCTCGCAATGCGATCTAGGCCCCAGCTGGGACCTCTTCTTGTCCTCTCAATTCGGAGCAGGGATACAATCCACCGGAATACGTGGTCAGGTGATCACATCCGATAATGAAACTTTTAAAGGAAAATTAAAAATTGCTCAAACCTGGGAAATGGCCGAAGCTCTTAACCAAAATAATCCAACGAACAACGCCTTCAGCAACCAAAAAAACGTACCCATAAAGTATACTCATATACAAAACACCCCGCAAACATATGATAATTACTACCAACCCCCACGTCAAAATTTCCCACGTAATGATAACCCTACTTGTTACAAATGCGGGAACGGGGGACATTACAGGTCAAATTGCCCCATGAGACAAACAATAAACTATTATAACCCATCACATTATACACCACAAATGTTACTCCCAAAACCAATTGTCTCGACGATATCCTACCCACCAGGTATCCAAGCACTACCCGATGTTAAGAAGGACGAGAATAAAGAATACAGACGTATAAATGTAATGACAAAGGAAACAGATGTCGATGAAAACCACTCTTTCCAGGTAACGATAAAAGTAAATAATATACCGTTGAAAATGGAAATAGATACTGGCTCAGAAGTATCCATTATTGGTAAACAAACTTATAATTTGATTTTCAAATTTATCCCGCTCAAAGACACTAACATAATACTAAAATCATTTTCGGGTCACGCCATTCACCCAATAGGACACTTCCTTGCGGTAATAAACTACCATGACAGCACATATTCGGGTAATATACTAGTAACAAATGACAACCACACCTCCATAATCGGAAAGGATATACTAAATGAAATACCCAGAATCATACAAGATATTACAGCCGAGACTCCTGAAATAAAAGAGCTACCATTAGAACAAAGATATTCGGATACCTTAGGGAACTTTCTTAGTAAAATAGAGATAAAAATACTTCCCACCGCCAAACCCAGAAACGTACCTGCTCTACAGTCACGTCCGTTAAACCTCCTTCGGGAAATATCAGGTTCTCACCCCACAAACTCTCCAAGCACCGAGACCCCTTGAGACGATTTATTCGCTAAAAAGTCCGAAACGCCGTATCACCTTGGTCAACAGCGGATCGAGTCGTTAATCCCCTATCGTCACAAAGCCATCAAAAATCCCGCTAAGATAGACGACCACCCAAACCACAACACTCCGTACGAAGTTGTTCCAGAAGGCTACAAATCCATCACAACCGGCTCACTCACGAAGGGAAAGAAAGAACTCTCAGATTCCCCAACCCAAAGGACGAGACGTATCGATTACGAACCAAAAAAACCCACAAAAATACGAGGAGGCACCCACATGACCGTTTAGACCCCCTACCCGGGGTAGCCGAATTTAAGCGGGGAGGAGAATGCTGTATTTCCATAAAACACCCTTATTTATTTATTTTTTTTAATCATTTTATTTGTATTTTACATGAATTTTTTTTTTGTGGTCATCCACCTGTTATGTAACAAATCCTTTTTTTTATTTCTTCCACGTGTTTCAAATTTAGTTGTAATTAAAATCCGCTCTAACACAGCGGTGCGGCGAATGCCGTCTTGGTTTCTTTTTAAAATTAAGGTAGGGTTTACTTTCTAAATTAAAATCCGCACTAACACGACGATGCGGCGAATGCCGTCTTGGTTTCTTTTGGAATTAAGCTAGGGTTAACCTTCGTAATAAAATCCGCTCTGACACAGCGGTGCGGCGAATGCCATTTTGTTTATTTTATTGACTTAAGGTAGGGTTTACTTTCGTAAGTAACTCCACTCTAACTCAGCGGTGCGGCGATGCCGGGTTTTTTTTCGATTAGGGAATTAAATCGGCGCAGACGCCCGGGGTAGTCGTATTTAAGCGGGGAGGAGTGTTATGTTCTATCTCCCCACTTGTCCCGTATAACTTATTTCTTTTCTTAACGTTTTTCTCCACTTGTTTCTTTTGTTTTCCCATCTTCCTTTTTTTTGTTATGAAATTGATATTATACCTTATTTTTATATTGCATTTGAAACTGGTTCTAATGTATCACGATTATATAACAACCTTATTTTTTTCTCTTTGTTTTAAAAATTATAGAGGTTGGAAAAATACCTTTTTCTTGACCATTAATGATTTTTCTGTTTTTGTGAAATTTAAAATACATTTCTTTTATGAATAATTATTGTGCGCAGTTTTTATTATTTTGTGAATTGTGACATTTAAACAATAAAGTAAATTACTAAAATTATCCTGAATGATGACTAAGATAAAAACCGGTCCCAACGTCAACCAACCTGAAAATCCCGGTCCCACGAATTCTGTCGATCCCACACCCTATCTCACGGTAGAACCGCTCGCGGTCGTAGCCCCAAACGCAACACAAAATATTTGGCTTCATTTAATTAATATTTATATTTATTTAATAACTTGAGCAAGGCAAATAAAGAAAACTAACACGTCATCATTACGCTATTGTAATTTTAAGGAAAAACACACAATAATCATCAATGTTTTACACTATTTATCATATTTGATCTGGATGAAATATTTATAAATTTATTAAAACAAAAACGCATATTTTTAATTAACTCTTTATTTAAATATATTATACTCTAAAAACGAGTTTATAAGAGATCTACAAATCCGGTCCTAAGTCTCAGCCACCAGATATATGGTAGGGGAGGGATGGAGTAGAGACGGGCCAGGCCGTAATATATTTTTAAATAATCCAGACCGGGTCGAAAAATTTATTTTTTAAAAAAATTTGGGCCGGGTCCGGCCTAAAATTAAAAAAATAAATATTCGGGGTGCCTGAAATTAATTTTTGTTTTGTAGTTTTTATATTTTTATAATTTAATGAAAAATAATATTTAAATTTTTATTTTTCTATATTTTCGATACTCTTTAAGATTTTTTCATAAAATGTTTACTTAGTAATAAATAATATATATTTTTTATATTTATAATATATATTATATTATTTATAAAAAAATATAGTGGAACAGGTTTCATAGCGTAAAATAAAATTATTATTAAGATTAAATACTTAATGACGTTATATTAAGACTATGTATTTTATTTTAGCTCTGCCTATATAATATATAATAAAATTAATTATACAACATATAATGAAGTATCTAGAGTGAATCTTATTTTAGTGATACATTTAGATATAATTTTATTTATATTTTTTTATATTAAAGATGGTTATATTTGAATTAATTTCGTAGTTTATCTCTAAGAATAAGGTTTCCTTGTCTAAACAAAGGTTCTAGAGTGGTTTTAGATGTTAGTGAGATTTTTATTTAATAAAGAGTAATTTTAATTTTAGAATTCATCAAATAAAGATAATGAACAAGATATTTGTAAATATTTAAGATATTTTAACCTGAAAAGCGACTAGTTAATTTTTGTTGTTACATTCAAAAAAGTAACGAGTTAAAAGTTATTTTAACACACAAATTTTATATTTTAATGCCATATTTAATTTAATCATGATCATCTTATAGATACTACATTTATTATATATATATCAATGGATAAAAATTTGAATTTAATTCTTTCTATTTATTTATATAATTTGATTATATTATTACATGATTAGAACAAACAAACCTTTCACAAATACAATATCTAAAAATTTTTGTCACATAATATTTGGCGAGGAAAATTATAATCTAAAAAATTTATATTAAATAATGATTTTAACATTTATAATAATTTAAAAAATATATAATATAAAGTTTTTTAATTTTGGATAATAATTTTTAAAAAAATATAATTTTAAAACACATTGCGAACCAACAGGTTTTATATACGTGCGATAAATAAATATTATAATAATGGGTTCAAAAGAAACGTAAAAAAAAATTCCAACTATAGAAAATTATAAATAATATTATAAGAATTTTGAAATCCATAATATAGTGAATCAAAATATTTCTCATATTTATTTATTATTAGAAATAATTAATTATGATATATATTATTTTGCAATTTTAAAAGATAAAGAAATTGATAATCTGATGACTTCTAGCTATAATGATGTAAAAAATATTTTGTGGCGATAATCATGTTTTCAATTATTATTTGTTATGTAGGAAAATAAGGTGTGTAATATATAAATAAATAATTTCCAAATGAAGAGCTCGATAACCATCAAGTTTAAGTCTAGGCTAATTGTGGCTAATTGAGAGGTTGACTAGCATTAATTTTTAAAACGAAATATTTAATTTTTTTAGGTGCTTTATAGAAAGTGAATAATTTAAATTATTACGTATTCCTTAACTAAAGCATCAAATGATTAATAGAAAGCTGAGAAAAATTAGTTCAAACATTAGAATAGCAAATGAGAAATGCAGATATTTGTCTAGAGAGTGCTTCACTCTACATTTTTAAAATCTTTGAGTTAGAAGTGGATAAAAACTTATTTATTCCCCATATATATAAAAATAAAAACTAGATTGAAAAATATTAATTTTTTTTCCGAAGGTATGGCTCTGTCAATTTTGTGCTATTTGCACATAAATAATTATGTAATTTTTGCTTTATATGCATGACCTATCCTATTTATCTTATTTAATCACGTGTTGTATTTCCCTCTTTTATAATTTTTTGCTTTCCATATTGAATCGTAAAATATTTTTATTCCATATCTATTCCCAAAGTATTATAATGTCAAGGCAATTTTTATAATATTTTCTAGTATTCTGAATATAGTTTTCTTTTCATGTGTAATCTTTAAATAAAGATATTAAAATTGAATTTGAATTGTATAATTTATCAAATATTTTTATTAAGACTTACTTGCTTATTAAATAAAGTTATAAAAATTTAATTTGAAATTAAATAATTGTAAAATTTATGATAATTTTCTAATAATCTACTTGCTCATAATTTAAATAAAGATTACATAAAATTGAATTTAAAATTAAGTAATTGTATTTAATTAAAATTTATCACAATTTTTTATTAATCTACTTACTCATAATTTAAATATAGATTAATTAAATATAATTTAAGCAATTGTATTGTTCATTAAATATTGATATAAAAATTGAATTTAAATTTTACACTGTATATAGCTCTCTAACTTATAGAAGTAAAGCCATTGATAGGAAAAAAATTAAGAGAAATGGGTGAGACCTATATTAATATTAAAGATATAAAAAGAACAAGAATTATTCATAATGATCATTCGAATAAATGTATATTTCAGTGTCATGCTAATGTTGATCAGAGTAAAATTATTCAGGAGGGCTTTTTGGAGCGTAGCAAGCTTCTGTAGTAAATTTATGATTCGGACTCCATGTTAGAGAAGGACAAAAGATCCTTTAAATTAAAAAACTATCTATACTTTAATATCTTTGTAGGGGTGAATGTTAAAGTTAGAGTTTGCAGATAATATTTTTTTTTACAAATACTTGACATAAGTAATAAACATATTAGTTTCCTTGAAAGGATAAATTTACTAAAAAAAGATTTTTATCATATAATAAAGATTTTATCATTGTTCACATAAACACCATTCCAAGAGTCTATTCACATTATACAGGCCAAAAGATTCTTCAAATTAGTAGTTTGAGGAAAGTCTAAATTATAAAATACCTTATGGTTTGTATTCTAAAAAATACGATGAATTATGATGAATTCTTGTAAATATCATTATTATATGAATAAATTAGAAAAAAAAATTAAGATATAGTGTTAATTTCTATGATTCGATGTTATTATTTTGAATTTATTTATTATTTCTAATTAAAAAAAATGTAAATGGAGCATTTTGAACATATAATAAATTAATGCGTTTTATATTTGATTCATTTACATTTTGTTTTTATCAAATAAATTTTATATTCAAATATTTTGTGCAAAATATTTTAAGCTATAATTGATTATTATGATAAATTATTTCTTGACAAATATTTTTCCTACATTTCATTTTAAACTTTAATATTGATTTTCTCATTTTAAACATTTGCGCAAGTGGGGCACTCCATTTCCAAACCCTTGTTAATAGATATTTTAAAAAACATGATTTGAGTATGCAAGAAATATGGTAAATTTATATTGTCAGTGGATGTTTATGTTTTTAAAAATTCTACAAAATGGAAAAGGAATGAGAGAGGTAGCTAAGAGTGTATTCCCAACCCCTCCTGAAATTTCAATGAAGCAAATGCACCATACTTGCTCTTTGCCTCCATTTTAATGGGTCCTGAATAAAAGGAATGGAATTTTTATAAAGAATTCAGCAATGTTCTAAATGAGAAAGGCTTTTGCAGCATAAAGCACCTCGCTTGTTTTATGTTATATTGTAAAAAAAACATAAAATAATAGAAAAAAAATAAGGCAGGAAATAAATGTTAGTATCCACAGAAGAAATACTGTTGGAAGGAGACTAGAATACTCATGCTGGGGGCTTTAAAATATGACTACTTCTGTAACCATGATGATTAGAGTTTTGTTAAAAAATAAATGAAAAGAAAAGATTGGTTATGATTTTATACAATTAACTATACAAAAGGTATTGTAAGGCATACTTCTAAATTGATCTAAGTAAACCTAGGGGAAACCAGGGCTAATAGGCGCAAGGAGCTTGTCGGTTCAGTGAATTTTATTTAAAAACCAGACATGTTTAGAAATTCAAAATTTAATCATGTAATAGCATTGTATAATATGTATATTTGAGGCGATAAATATTTTATACCCCTCAGATATTTAATCTTTTTATTTATAAAATGTGCCTTTTTAGGTAAAAGTAAATAAAGAGTTTAAAAATAAAATTGACATTATATGAAATTTAAAACCCTCTTTTAGAATTTCAGAAAGTTTCATATTCATATATCATGTTTTAATGATATTAATATCTAGGGGTTAGTAGTGTTCTAGTTGGATCAAATGCTTACAAATATGATATATTATATTATAATATATTTATATAATAATATATAATAAGTATTCATTGGCTACTATTATATACTGAAATCAATTTTATATGATAATGAAATAGAATTAGGAAAAAATAAAAAATATTTATTAAAAATTTTACAATCCTATGGGATACCTAATAAAATAACTGAATCTACAAGCCTTGGTTTGGAGCTTGTTGGCAAAAAATTTACTTTTACTAGAGTCAATCTTGAGAAAAAAAAGTATAAAATTTGTAAGAAATTTATCAATATATAAGGTTAGATAGGTGTTTGGACTATCTCACGGTTTGTAAATTCATTTACAACAATAATTTTAGGACTTATGATGTTTTTGACAAAAATTTCACAGAATAGCCCTGTCTCCCGTTTTAGTTGAAAACCTTGATAAGAAACGTGGTAGATTGAAAATACATATATTTCGATCACGGGAACTAAAACTAAATTTAAAGTAGGAAAAGAATTAGGGAATAAAATTCTACAAATATATCAGATGATGAAGAAGTATTCATAAAAATTAATAAATAGAAGAGGATAATAGTAGAAAATCGTGATATAATCATAAATATTTTAATCTCTGGGTTTTATTTTCTTAAAAATATGGCAGTTCAAATTTGAAAGAAACTAATATGAATTAAAATGCCTTAAGGTAACGGATTAACAATTTCTGCGGCTCGCACTACTAGATAATGAAATTAGCCGATATTTAGCCATTAAACGACTATACTAAGACGAAGTGATGGAAAGGGCTAGACTATTAAAAAAATAGGACAGTATTAGGAAAAAGGAATCATATTAGCAAATGATAAAAGCTAGCAGGGTTGAAGGGTTGCGACTTGTGAGGAAGAAAAAGTTGATGAAAAGTCTGTTATAGTGTTTGGGACACAAGAAAAGTAGTTCCTAATTATATCGAGGTGAGAGATTTTTAGTAAAGAAAACCAACTAAAAAATTGAAAAAGAGGTTTGATGAAAAGATAATAGTCATTGGAGATAAATTGATTTAATTATTCTTACGATTTATTTCTTAACTTTATATATACATTTAAATTCATAAATCCCCGAAAGAAATTTTTTATTTATTATAAAATTAAATCATAAATATAACCTTTGTCGTGATATACCATCATTATAACTTCTTTGAACTTTAAAATTTTCATCATCATTTGGTACGATACTAACTTTAAAATATCTTACGGACCTCTGATTGCTTGCGATAATCAAAAGAATGGTAAAAAAAATGGCAGATATAACGGATAAAATGGCACTCAGAGCAAATGTAACATGATAACTCTTGGTTTTATCGACCAAATATCCTGTTGGGAGGAAAAATATAATACGAGTAAATTATTTGTTATGCCAATATAAAACAAACAAATTCGGGAATATGTTGTAGTAATTACAAATCTAAATATTATAAAATTGATTGAAGGAGGTGAAAACATAGTAAAGAAAAATTAATAATATTTTTAAAAAAAATTAAATTATATTTTTTTTATTATATAGGAAATCCCTGAAATAATATTAATTATCATAAATGAAAGTTTTAAAATTTTATCAAATGTGATGTGGATAAAGGTGATCTATATGAAGAAAGAAATTTAAGATGAACATATTAAATTTTAAAAATGAAATCCATTATGACTTGCGAGAATCTTGTAAGAAAATGTATATTTTGAATAAATATAACAAGAGCTATCAATATAAAAGAGTGGAAACAAGAATGTAAAAATGCTTCAGCATATGGAAGAGCAATGTTTTCACGTGATAATTGCCCATTATACATTTAATTGAAAGTTGTGTGAGATTAGACGAGATAGTCGAGTTAATAGAAAGATACAACAAAATGAAATAGGGTAAAATAATATCCAATAGAAGGATTTATTGAGGCAGGAAAGGCAGAGATTGTTTCTAATTTGTATCCGTACCTTGATCGGATGTAAAATTGAGAAAAGATACTGAATAGATAAATAATTAGACTTGAGTGGTGTTTTATAATTAGTATTCATTAACATATAAAACTCAAATGTAAATATATAAGTCAGTGATACAGTTTAACTTCTATAAATGTTTAGATATCTATGGTAAAAGAGAAAGAAAAAAAGAGATAGAGACCTGACCTTATTTTTCTTAAAAAAAAGACCATACCAGACCCGGCCTAAAGCTATTTTGCAATCTCTTATGTCAAGCAAGTTTATACAACATATAAGAATAGAGTATTTTGAACCAGGGGTGAAAAATTGTTAAACCTGCATAATGTGAATTATTTAATTAAATTTATATAGTGTTTAGTAAAATAAAGAATATCTAAATTAAATAACTATTTAAAGACAAATTAAATTAAAGTTAATAAAATTTAAGCATATGTTTAAATAATGGAGTATTTGAAAGAGATATCCACAATAGAATGAATAGAAGCTCTAATTAGAAATTATTTATAGGATGATTTCAAGATTCATGTATAATAGCATAGAATAATGATATTGAGTTAATATACTACTAAAAAAAATTAAAATAAGAAGACCTCCTAAAGGCGGGCTTATCAAAATACCCACTCCGGAGGCCATCATGCTATATCCATAAACATGAGATAGATGAGCCAATCCAAATAGGTCCACGCAGATAGTAGGAACTAAGGCTAATTTAATTCCGCAAGGGATTCCGAAGGCCACCGCCGTAATACAAAGCAGGTCATACCTTAAATTTTTATAAAATAAGGTTAGAATGTTATTGGTTATAGGAATTATTTAGTAGACTAGTTTTATAATAAACATACCTGCGAGTGGCCAAAAAAAGAGGCGTGGCGATAGCCCCGTGGATTAAAGTGCAGACAATGAATATCCAGCTCTTAGTTAAGTTAGGGCGTTGGAGTTCAGTGGAACGTTTCGAAAGAGAATTGAAAGTATTTGAAGAACATATACTGGAGGAAATTCTTTCCTTGCCACCCTTACCCTTTTTGCAAAACATAAAACAGGTATCTAAAAGGGCCCCAGTTATATTGCCCACGAACATGCTGGTCATTAGGATTGTGAAAAGAAAGGCGGCGCGGACCTGGGGACGAAGGTGCCGATCAGTGATTAGAAAATCGAATAGCAAGTGAACGACTATGAATACGGAAGCGGTCCAAAAAGCTGATTGGGCCATGTAAAGAAGTAATCGTGGCGAGCGCAAAGTAGGGAAGGGTATGGAAAGGTCTAGAAACACAATATTATGTTTTTTTAAAAAAATTGATTAAATATATTATTTGCGTGTAAATTACTTTACTATAAATTTGGAACTAAAACCTTTAACCACATTTTGAATATCATATTCATTAAAAATAATATTTAAGATTTAAAGTTTTTTTTTTTACCAATACAATCTAATTCGTATGAAGTTATCTCTAGTTACTTATTATTGAGTTAGTGTCACCCAAATCTACCACCTGATCTTTATCAATATCCTCTAAATCGCTTTCATCTATATTTGCCTGCGTTGCTTCGTCAGTTATGCTATTCAATTCCGGGGGTGCAATTTTGACTATATTTGTTCCGTTGGTACCACTCTTAATTCCATCAAGAACTTTAGGTTCCGTCATATCATCCGCGTTTCTCAAAAACTTTTTTCGAGATGGAGACTTAGGCTTTTTGAATATTAAATAAATAATTTTATATAAAAACATATAAATCAAACTAATTGAATCTATTCGCATTAAGATAACTTCTGTGTAGGGATTTTTTTAGAGCAAAAATCGGGTTCGATTTTTATTTGTATCTTTTAAATTGAGGAAATGTTGTTAAGCAGTCTGATTTAGGTCAATTTTAATAAACAGACCTATTAAGATTTTAATCAAATTTAAGCCTGGATATTTTGCTCACAGATGGTAGAAAGGATTCGACCTCTATTTGCCAAATATCTAGGCTTTACATAATATTATATTGGTTAAAATCTTAATCGGGCTGTTTTCAAAAATCGACCATTAATATTATTTTTTATTAACAAAAACTATATTTTATTAAAATTTTGTATCTTTTTAAAAATTGATACCAATCACTTATTAAGAAAAGTTATAGTGGTTAGCGATAACTTTTATGACATTTTCGAACGCATAAATTTTGGAATGATAATGAATGGCGTCAATGTTAAAAGATTCAATATAAATATAAAAAAAATCTAGTTGTTGATAATATTTAAAATAAAAACTCACTATAAATCACAGCCTAACCCTGTATTAATTGTTATTGCTTCGCGGTTAAGTATATAAAAATATACGAAAAATACAGCATATCTCGTATACTTGTCCACGAATCCTTGCTGTAAGCAATGCAACTCTTCATTCACAGTTGTGCGAATTCGCGACGGAGAATACAAAAATAAAAAGTATTTTCGCACTAACTACGAATGAAAGGTAAGAAATATATTAAAATTTAAGTCTAGTTTCTATTTTTATAGAAAAACAATCCTACTAATTTTTATGCGAGCTGACTGACAATGCAACTTTATAGAATAAAATTAAAACTTTTACAAAAAAAAGATATATAGATAAGAAACATATGATTTGATAGATCAAAATACTTTAACAATACTTCGGGTGTCACTAATAATAAATTTAAATTTAATTGATTGTCTATTTTTAGCCCTAAATGAGCTGGTTTTGTCAGTGTCTAGAATAAATATATGAAGTGTTTAATTTTCCCTATTTGATTATTTAATACATGATAGTTTTATTGAGAATGACTATAATAGTCAACTAATATGTATTAATAAACCTAGCCCCATTGACGCATATCTATTAAAATATTAAGAACTCGCACTAATCCATATCAAGCCTTCTCCACCCCCTCCAAATTTAGTACATACTCATCAGCCAAATTAACTCAGTTCTTAAGCTCTAAAATGATTCTAACATATCTATATTAGCCCTTCTCTAATACAATCAAAATAAATATAAATCATATAAAAATAATTATAGATTCATTATTTACTTTATATTAAATTCACAGTAAATCTTGAATATGGCATCCTTTTGATTATTAAGTCACCCTTTATTCAATCTTTCCTAAATCCCTATCTCTTAACTACTATACTCTACTTAATCATATTATGGTTATGACATTTATATTACTAGATATTTAGCAAATACCTAACAAGATCACTTCCTGGTATTATATCGACATAATTTCTATATTTTATTAATTTATTTAAACTTAAAGTATTTTATAGAAAACAAGATCTTCTATTAAAATCTTATTAAGTTATCGCAAAAATGCTTTTTTTCTATACAAATATGCTGAAATTAATTAATAGATAAATTGAAATTTTAAATGGCCCGATAAACCATATTGTTTCATTTAAAATTAAATTATTAAATAAATCATTTTACATTACAATAACTAAGATTTTTTTTATATTTTCCTTGCCTCCAACTACCCTCTACCTCGGCTAACCTATTAGTATACAAACATTTTAAATTTATATAGGAAAGTTTAAAGTTAATTAGTAAACAAAACATGTGGTTTATCGCGATAAATCTGTATAACAGCTTTCCTATGCGTTTAGAAAAACCGATAAATCAGAGTTGTTAACGTTCCTTTTTAAAAGTAGCTAGCTCCCGCTCCTACCTTCTCCAAAGGAGCTAGCTCCCGCTCTCGCTACTACATTTTTAAAAGGAGCTAGCTCCCGCTTCAAGTAATGGAGTGCCACTCCGTAATCTCTCCTTTGATTTTCATTTTTTAGAGGTTATATGAAATAAAATCTTATTTTTTTTATCAATATATGAAATTATCTATCAAAATATTTGTAACCTTTTATTATCTTTTAAAAGTAATAAATTTAAATTAGAATCTATCAAACATCCACGCCTCTCCCCTAAGACCTGTTTTGCAATACTAAATAGGCACTCCACAGGAGCACTAGAGGGAAGCAGGGTATTGTATTTTATAAAGATATTTTTTAATTCAGGGAATATATCAAAAATAGTAATTTTGGTATCATTATTTAAAAAATATTTTTCCAATATATTATCTTCCTGATGATCAATTTCATGGAATCGAAAAAAATCTTCCAAATTAATTTGTATTTAAAAGATAGATTTTTTACTTTTAGATTCCTTTTTAGATTGAAGCTGCTCACTTTTAAAAATTAAATAGTTTTATTTAAACACAAAAGACATTTTGCCCGTAATTTGTCTGATCATTTGGATTAACATCTTTTAGAAGTTTAAAATATTTTTTGTATGATGGAAGTGGAAATTCGATTTCTTCATCTATGATATCTAAATTCATAATATCTAAAACTATTTTTTATTATATATCTATGAAACGAATATTAATATGACTTACAAGATTTTCCAAAAAATTTTCAATATAAAAAGGAAAACTTGATGTTTAATATTTAAAATGATTAGATGAAAAACCAATATAAAACTCGGCTAAACATTTAATAATGGATAAATTTAAATTTAATAAAATTTCATTTTTATTGAATTTTAATTGTTGTAAATGTTAGATTTAATTTGCATAAAGATTTCTTTTGGATTTTGTTGTACTTTATATGTATTTTGCATAAAGAATTTTTGTGGATTTATTGTTATAACGCGTGATAAAAAGATTATATTTGAATAGTTATGATTAGTTATAAGAAAATTGAAAAGAGTATAAAAAAGAAAATTTTTACGATACAAGAAATCTTTGATTTTTTTAAAATTATTAACTTTTTTAATTATATTTATTTTATTTTATTTAATTTTTTATGATTTTTACTATTATAATTTTGAATAAAGAATTAAAGTTGATTTTATGATTTCGTGATTCCTAATTATTATTAATTTCTTTTATATATATATATATATATTTGTTTTCTATTTTTATATTTAGGTTTTGATGCACAATGACAAACCTGTCGTTGTGACATTAATTAATAAATATTATTTAATATTTAAAAAATAATTTAATTTATACATTAAATTCAAAGGAGCGGTGGAGCTGCGCTCCTCCACTCCAGCCCTAAAAGGAGCTAGCTCCCGCTTTCCAATTCTAAAAGGAGGGGTGCTCCATGTGTTTTTGAAAAAATGTAGCGCCGTTTCTGTAGCACCGCTCCTTAACAACTCTGCCTATAATATTGAAAAGAAAACCAAATAGACTTTAATTTATTTAAACTATTAAAAGCGTTCATGTAACTAACATTAAAGCTGATCGAACAAAATTCAAAAAAGAAAAATAAAATATGATATTTTTCATCGCAACTCATTCTCCCATTAAATTTAAAATTTGGAGGTTCAAATATGGCATCATAGTTTTTATCTCTTAAACATGCCCTAACCAGCACAATCATATTCTATTACCTTAGAATATTAATTACTTTATAGTTGTTAATTTTATAAGCTCTACTTGATGGGGTGTTTTGGCATTAAATAATCGATATTAAATTTTATGAAATTATAGTGATGGATGATTGGTTGGGATTCACCTATCACTATAGGAATTCGGACCTGTTTTTACAAAAAGATTTTACTATTCATGCAATTTATTTGAATAATAAGGATAATGTAATAATATAAATCCTTCCAGGATATAAATTGCTAACTGGTATATACCATATGGTTTTAGCAAATGTATATATATAAGAATATTGCTGCCACAACCTTATTAATTGAGTGTAAACTACGAGCGGTAAAAGGCAGGATAAGACAGCTAAAAACTATTGTTTGAAACATGAGGGCTCCAATGATAAGAAAAGCTCCTCTAAATCCGTATTTAGCTATCAATTTATAAGATATAAGCGGCATTACAAGGGTACCTAGACCACCGCCGGCCAAATTCATTCCCTGAGCAAAACTACGTTCAGCTGGACGGGTAAAATAGGCCCCCAAGGCAACTACGGATGATACATGCATGCATCCATATCCAAATCCTTTTTAATTTTTATTAGATTTAAAAAAAAAATTTTTTTATAAAACGACTAAATCAGACTGAAATAGTTTTTAAAAAAATCTTGTTTTAATAAAATATTAAAAGTTGGTATGATAATGATTTGTTAAATGAATTATAATAAATCGTTACCTGAGAATCATATTATTTTATCTCCACTTTTTCCAACTTTACAGGAAAGTTAATTTTAAAAATGTATTGTTTATGTTTTGATTTGCATGTGTAGATTTGCTATTTCCTAAGCACTTTATTATGTAAATTACCATGATTTTTTTCTTAAATCGTTTTTTTTCATTCTCATAAAACTGGAGATAGAATAAATACTAAATTTTATTTTTATTATTTTAAGAAATATTATTCCATCTTCAAACAAATTCTCTTTAAATGCAAAATTATTATTGTATAATAAAATAACAATAATTACCAATTAATGTAAACAAGACAACAGACTTAAATTCTAACTTACAAATTTAAAAATAAGATTTTCATGGAGTATATAAAAAATTAATTTATAAAATTGATTATCAGTGTATAAAATATTATTTTTCTATAAGTAATGTTAAATAATAATTTTTATCATTATCTGGCACAATGTTTAATATATGATATTTTTTTATACAATTTTAACAATGGAAAAAAATAAGGAGATCTTATTTTTCAAAAATCTAATCGACGGCTGGCGGCGCGCCGAACGGCGTAAATCGGCGCAGTTATAAATTTTTATAACATAAATTTTTTAATTGCTTATTAATTTTTTTTAAAAAAACAAATAAATATACGCTATTCTACAGATATCTCGGCATATTTTTTAATATTCATTTAATAGAAAACTTATTATATCCAAAATCTATTTTGTAATTTTATAATTATCATGTGTAAAAAATTATTTTATTTGGGACATAATGATGATCTCCTTGAATTTAACGTCGGTAGAGAAAACTCTTTCACTAGGTGTGCTACTCGCCGGAATGCAAAGAATTTTTTTGACGAGAATGGAAAGATTGGGAAGTTCACTCATCTTTTCTCTCCAAAAATTTAGAACGTCCATATCTTGAGAATGTCATTCTCCAAGAAAACTGTGGCATTCTTGTTCTAAATCACCTAACTTGGAATCATAATTTATATTTGTTGAATGTTTATTTGCCAATTTTGTCCAATAACTTGAATTTAATAATTCATCTTCATCCTCATTAGCTATATTTACTACCTGATTATCATCATTCTCTATAAGTTTAAGATGTTTTATTGAAAATTCTGAAGCTGAGCAATTTTGCTCTATTAAATACTTTGACACAATTGTCAATTTTTAAAATCTTGGATCTAAAAGAGAAGTCAATACCTAGATAATTTTAAATAAAAAATAAAAGAATATACTTATATAATATTATTTGCAGATTACAAACCGGAAATCGTGAGGCAAATTTTTTTAGTATATTTTCCTTAAGTAAAATAATTTCAATACTATCACTATCATTTACTATTAAATGTGTTTCAATTTCACTTCTAAAAAGTAACGTCAAGTTTAAAGAGGCCCTTTTTATACTGAAAATTTTGAAAGAAATGCTAATAGTTTTTCTACCAGTTCAGATTCATAATTTGAGAAAGTGCTTCCCAATTCTTTTCAAAACATTATTAATTAAATCCTTATTTAATCCAGATATGTTTTCTAGCATAATTAATATACTATGCCAATGTGTTGGGCTTGGGACATTTAATTTTAAGGTTTTCATTTGTGGAATTATTGTTATTATTATTATCATTAGAATTGGAATTGCCAATTTGAAAACGGTTAAGATCTAACATGTCCGAATGTTAAATCTATTGTACTTAGACATTTTCTTTGATATTCCTCGAATTCAAATTCAACCTCTGCAGTTTTATATCTTAGAGCAGTAATAATTTCTCTAATTCTTTTGCAAAAAATTTCCAGACTATGGATTTTTTATTATCAGTTTGGATACTAAAATTATTTATAGAATTATTAAATGTAGATACATCCATTTTAAAAATATGTAAAATTATGGTAACTTTTGGAATTTTAGATTTTTGATTGATTGATTTCTATAATGAGTCAATATAATTATGATTTTAAAATAGTAGAAAATAAAAATTCATCAAAATCCTGATTGACATTAAAAAATTAATGGAATAAAAAGTAAAATATGAAAGAAATTTCTGCGCCGGCCGTGCGCCGCCAACATAAAAATCGGCGGCGCGCTGGCGTGATTTTCTCAAACGGCGGCGTTTTCGGCGTAACCAAAAATGGTTGGTGGCCTAGCAACGGCAGGCCGGCGCACAGGTCTAGCTATAGTTAATTTTATATATTATAAAAGTTTAAGATTTTTTGATTAGAATAATATAATTCTCAAAGGATGAAATTTATTAAAAAATATATTAATTAATTTTGAAAAAAAAATTAAATAGCACAATATTAAAAGATTTTATCAAATTTTAAAAAAGGCGTTAGATAAATAATTTAAAGACGAAAATAGCCATTTTGTGAATCTTTTACAAATGGAGATAGAATAATATAATTCTCAGGCGACGAAATTTATATATTTTAAAGATAAAAAAAATAACACAATTTCAAATTTTTTTTATCAAATTTAAAAAAAGGCGTTAGATAAATAATTTAAAGACGAAAAATTGCCATTTTGTGAATCTTTTACTTTAAAGAAATGGAGACTAAACAATCTCGAACCATCAAATTTATACATTTCGAAGATAGATGGTTTAAGACCTCAAATGGTATGACAACCATACCTTGAAGGCCTTAGGCAAATCACTCATATGAAGACTAGCACATGTGTTGTGCATCATTCACCTTCAAGACATAGAGATTTCAATATTAATAATCACAGGCTGAAATTTATAAAAGATAAACAAATACAAACAATTTTAAAAACTTTTTATTCACTCCAGTTGATGACTTCTACTAGACGGGCATTTTTCGCCTTCAACATTTTTGTATTTTAAAGAAATCTTGCTAATAAAATACGACTTTTCACAAATAAACCAAGAGAATTTCTATATTTATTCAGACAAAAAATATCAAATAGCAAATTTTTAGATCACAATTATTAAGGTTCGCTTTTTGAGGACGAAAAATAGCCATTTTGTGAATCTTTTACTTTAAAGAAATGGAGATAGAATAATATAATTCTCAGGCAACGAAATTTATATATTGAAGATAAATAAATATAATACAATTTCAAATGATGTAGTTTTATCAAAATTAAAAAGTATTAGATAAATAATTTAAAGACGAAAAATAGCCATTTTGTGAATCTGTTACTTTAAAGAAATGGAGATAGAATAATATAATTCTCAGGCGACGAAATTTATAAATTTTGAAAAAAAATAACACAATTTCAAAATTTTTTTATCAAATTTTAAAAAAGGCGTTAGATAAATAATTTAAAGACGAAAAATTGCCATTTTGTGAATCTTTTACTTTAAAGAAATGGAGATAGAATAATATAATTCTCAGGCGACGAAATTTATAAATTTTGAAGATAAAAAAAATAACACAATTTCAAATTTTTTTTATCAAATTTAAAAAGTGTTAAATAAATAATTTAAAGACGAAAAATAGCCATTTTGTGAATCTTTTCCTTTAATGAAATGGAGATAGAATAATATAATTCTCAGGTGACGCTGTATTCTAATGTTGATAAACGACTCGATTCGAGCCGATTTTTAAAAACGGTCAACTCAATATTTTAGCCAGAAAAATATTGCCTAAGCCTCGAGATTTCGCTAATAGATGTTCAAATCCTGTCAACTATGAGCAAAATCTTTGGACTTGCATAATATTTTTTGAATAAAACATTAATTTAGCCGTTTAACAACACTACTGTATTCTAATGTTGGAAAAAGAGCTATCTATAAATATTTCAGACAATTTATTCAAGAATTTTTGAATTATATACATAAATTGCAAGGATTAACTTAAATATGAATTTAGACAATATAAGTTTTTATCTAGATTACAAACATTGTAGGTTGTAGTAACATATACAGTGTATATATAATTATAGGAGTTAAACAACTCAATTCTAAAATTTTCGGATGAAATAATAAAGTATAATCTCTTACCCACTAAGAATCCTATTGATATGTTCAAGAAATATATAGAGTTAGCGAAAAAGGAAAGCGAAAGACCGAGTCCATTAAGGAGACCTCCAGAAATAAGCAATACCCTCCAATTGTATCGTTTCAGTAGTAAGCTGACTATTGGACCTTTAAAATATCAAAAAAATAAATTTATATACTTAAATCATATTGAAAATTTGATATTATCCATTTAAACATAAATTAGAAACTATTTACACCTGTATTCTTCTCCTCTACTCATTAATATCTCTCATCATATTCAGCTCCATTCAGAAATCTCAAATCTTGAATAATTTTATCATTTGTTTTTAAGTTCTCATCTTTTTGTTTCAGGAAGTCTTCTCTCCACCTTTACCTACGATCTCTAAATAAATTCAGACTCAACCTATTCACCTTGTCTCTTTCTAATATTTCTGGGTCTTGCACAGAGTGTTAAGTATTCATTATACTACCAACGTTTCCCTCGTCTTAGTAAGTCAATAGTACATCACCCCCAATTTCTAGGCCACAATTTCCGGTATAATCTCTTATCTACCAAACACTGCATATTTCTCTCAAAATTCAGGTCGTTTTTATTTTATCACAAAGTTACCCAAAATCGTTTATTTACACTGAAATAGTGGACTTAAAACGTCTACAATTTATAGTCCTCCTTCAAACCATAAATAATGACAAATATGCTTCTAATTCTGACTTTCCCCTATCACACAAAATACAATGATCGGTAAAAATTCTATGGTAATTTTAACCTTGAGAAATGCAAAAATAAAAGGTAATTTTAAAAAAAATTACTTAAATCTTAAAACATCTAGATATCCCTGCTGTGTTCCCAATTATCTTTCGTTGATATCATACATATTCCTTAATCTTTATCACCTTTACATGCTCTTCCTATGCCTTTTCTTTAAATATCAGAAAATGACTTCTGGTATATAGTCTCGCCTAATCATTCTAAACTATCCTTTTATTTATCCCAGAATCTTTCTAGTAAAGTCCTTACCCATATACAGCATGCTACATCACTTAATCGTCTTTCAAACACCCATTTCCATACCTTCATTATAGGGATAACTTTATCCTCTGAGTACAATACAACTTGCAACGCTTTTACCTATAAGGAAAATTATAAATTATTTATTAAAAAAAATATTAAAATGAATATTTTAGGAAAATAGCTAATTCAGCATAATACCAACCAATTAAAATGACCCTTCAAATTTAAATAACTCAATATAATGTAGTAGATAACAACTATAAGAAAAATAAAACTTGTGAGGTATATATATACGTTTATTATAGGTCTAGGAGTTCTTAATTAGAAATTCCTTGGGCATCATAAAAATGACTAATTTTTGGAATGATTATGTTTTGCATTACCTTCAAATGTTACCTTGTTTTATTTCAGAGAAAATAAATCATATAAAATTTAGCTATATATATTTTTTTTAGCCCTATAGTCTCATATCTACCAATTATCGGCGATACAGTATATGAAGATATTAGCAAGATAATTGAGGCAAAGAAGCCCTAGTTGTTCGCATTTGGTTACAAGAACTAGTGAGACGCACATAGCGGAGACCTATTATGACTTTTAATAGATCCTTTTTTTGCATTGCCTTGATGACCAGTCTGCCTAGAGTGGTGATTCATTTATTAAAAATGCATGAAGCACCGTTAATTAAAAATCAGCTGATGGTACACCCTATTTTATTTTCCGTATTAATTTTTTTTTTAATATAAATAAATGATACTCAAAAATATAAGTTTTTTTAAATTGACAAAAATTTTAATTTTATCAATTTACACGGAAAACCAAAATGGCGTGTTATCGCGTGATTTGTTTTGATTCACATTTAAATGAATAAATCGTCAGTCTTGGAAGTTTCATTGGTCAACGTTTATTCAATTCAACCAATCACCATTCGCCAATGACATTCAATTTTTTTTATTAGCCTTAGGCAACGTTCTCGATTTTACGAATGAAGCCAAAGAATTTTTTTTAAATATATTAGACAAAAAAAAAATTCAAATTTGATTTTTTCCCCCTCTATATATAACTGTCAAAAAATAAAAATTTCTTTTTTTCGACCATTATTTTTTTTTAAAAAAAATCAGGATTTAAAAACATCAGGTAAACCGGGACACTTCCATTTAGAATTCGAAGAATGGTGGGAACCCTAATATTGCACCCCCTCCCCACCCCCCCCCCCCCCTCCACCCCCTTTCCTCCTTTTCCCATAAATAATTTCATTTATATTTCGAACAACGGTAAATATAATTTAATTAATTTTATTTGTTTATATAAAAGTCTTTAAAATAAGCAAATGCCTTCCAACCAAAAAACTATGGATGTACTAAATAAAAATATGCATATTAAACTTGAAAAAATTATTAAATCTAAAACCTTTTTAAAAACATTTAAATTAATGTATGTGGGAGTTATAAATACAATTATAAAAATATATATTTTTTTAGAGGCAATCATAGATAAAATATTTTATTTTATTTAAAAAAAAAATTAAGTGCTAATAAATAAAAAAAAAATCAGAAATAATTGAAATAGTTTTTTTTTTCTTCTTCTTGTAAATAATTTTTACTTAGTTAATTTATTAAAATATTATAATACCTACCCTCCCCCGAGGAATCTAGGAAAATAATTCCCCGAAAAAAAAATCCCCGTTTTTTAAGATATTAAAAATTACAAAATTAATAAAAATAGGAGAAAAAAATTCTCTATAAATATATCCATGGGATAAAAAAAATAATATGTTTAAAAATTTTGAGAAAATCAGTTCCGGAGAATTATTTTCTAAGAAATTATTGGGGATTTTTATTACCTCTCCCGAGGATAGTGAGTATCTGTGGATCAAGTGGAAGTTAAGATGCGCAGGTTTTTGGGAAGTAAAGGAAAAATTATTTATTGGGGTCTCCCTATAGTACAATTTATTTCCTCATTGGAATGAAATTATATATTTTTTTAATGTGGAATATGAGTTTTTGATTTTGCAAATAAACCAACAAGGACATGTACCGGTAAAACAAAACTAGCAATTATCATGTCTCCTGTTCGACGTCAATGATTGATAATCTGATTGAATTATATTTTTGATTTAAGGCTCTGTCCAGAATATCAAATAATTAAATTCACAAACTTTCTTAATTTTAATGAAAATATATATAAAAGATATTTTAATTATAAAAATAAAAAAATGTCCAAAACATAAAAATATTTTAAATTAAACTTATGAAATTTCATGTAAAAATTTTAAAATTTATGAAAGTATTTAAAACTTTTATAATTAAAAAAAATAAATAAATTTCGAATTATAGCCTTAATCAGTGGCGTAGCTAAGAATTTTCTTTAGAGGGGGTCCATACATATAAAAGCCTGGGAATTTCGCCTCCCAGACCCCCTTTAACGGGCCTTTGGCCCTTTTGTTCCGGCCTTCGGCCGGGTTTATCTTACACCATATTATCGATAATATATAATAAATTTATTTTTTAAATGCATCAATAATATGTTGTTATAATTTAGTAGATTATTCTCAATGACTTTATATTAATATTATCCAGAATAGTAATATAATATCCTTCCACATACATCGAAACCAGAAAAATATAAATATTAATGGTATTTATTTGATATAAAGTGACTTTTTTTAAGTCTCTTGAACGTATAATTTAAAAAAAATTTTGCTCTGGGAGGGGTCCAAACCCGAAAACCACCCCCGTAGCTACGCCACTGGCCTTAATGAAATAAATAGTATAATTATTTTTCTTCTTCTTTCGTGTGGGGTATTATGCATAAAAAAATGAATGATATTAGAATATTAACATTTTTATCCCTTAGTTATTATGTAAGCGCAAATAGTGTTATCAAACGGCTCGGTTTCCCTAAATTAAAATTAAGATTTTAACCAAAAAATAATTTTGCGTAAGCCCGAGACTTCGTTAAATAGATGTCCAAACCTTTATACCATCTATAAGCAAAAATCTCCAGATTCGCATATCTTTTGGCTAAAATATTGGGTTAGCCGTTTTTAAAAAATTGAGCGCAGTTTAACAACATCCTCTCAATGCAAAAGGTCTCAGTTCACTAAAAATTGGAAAATTTCGCTTATATCCCCTGGAAAATTTTGAAAGTAATTTTGTAATAATAATCGATGCTAGGAGAAGTAAACACTTGTATTCAAATTGAGTTTTTTTTTGAAAAATGGCTAAAAATAGAGGAAATATCGTCATCATTGATCCTGACTCATGGGAACAAAATTGGGAGCATTCATTATATTTCCTTCATTTTTAGCGATTTATTAAAAAAACCTACCATCTATTAATACTAATTTTAAATTCAGCAAGATTCTCAATTTTTGCGATTTAGAACCTATCCCATATAATATGCAGAAAATTAATTTTATACTTCTAATTTTTTTTGCATCTAAAAGAGATTAAATATGAAAAGTGTATATTTTATTCTTTTTTAAAAAAAATAATTAAATTCGAAAAAAAAAATTTAGATCTATATATATGTGTGTGTACCTGAAAAGTTAAAGACCCCAGATTGAATACTATTAAACCAGGCCGTTGTAGCTCTACTACTTTGGAAAGAATCTATAAGAGCCTTAAAAAACACGCTGAATGACATTCCTGTTCCGTATAATACGAAGTGATTTAACATTGAACAAACAAGCACAACATATGACCACGGTGAATCGGGATCAGGTCGATAAATCGAATTCCCCATTTATAATTAAAAAGAAATTTGATTGTGTCTTTTTAATAACATTTATTAATATTATTTTTATTTTATTTTTTTACCCGCAATCACAATAATTGCAAAACAAAGGATTTTTTTGTTTTAAAAAAAAATTAGTGATTTTAAACCCCCGAAGATAAAAATTCAGGAATCGTTTAATATTGATGGTTATTCCAAATTCTTAATTAATCAATACAAAAAAAAATTTTTTGGTTAATATAAAAGATACGATAATGACCTCCATTTAATTATCCGAAAAAAAATATATTCATAATTATTATTTATTAATATAATATGTTAATTTTATAATGTTTTTTTTTTACTTTTGTAGTCTTTTAAAATTTTTTAATTATACAATAAGAAGAAGAAAACGATTTCATATTGACATTTAGGTTGTGTATGTATTAAATACCATCGACCGAATCAAACATGTCATGGTATTATAGATAAACTTATAGATAGATCACCCGGGGTGTAATGGCGATTCCCTTCAGTTGGACCCTAAGTTAGACCCCTGATATGGCTTTGAAAAAATCTTTAAAATTATCCTCACAAGATCAACAACAACATTCACCCAAACATTAAATTTCCTATTGTTGAAATTTCATTCAGGTCAGTGGAATAATAGATAAATTTGTAGAATGTGACATTTTATTGAAAAAAAAATTGTAGTATATCCTTATTTTCATTTACTTAATATTTGGTAATATTAAAAATAATATTATTTTTTAGGTTGAAATATATATCATCTATTTACAAGTACATTTTGGAAAAAAAATGTTAGATCAATTTAAGATGCAAAAACCAATCATTAAATTTTCTTCTTGCATAGTTTTATATATTTTTTTTAAATTTAGATGAGATGGTTCAGATGGACATAACGTTTACAGATCACCTACTGAACTTTCATATCTACAACCCTAATTCCCTCAACAATCTTCATAAAAACTCTTGGAAATTAAATCCAATTTTTCCTACCAAGCAAACCAAATCAGCAGAGTTGTTAAAAGATACTCTTTAAATGGATCTAGATACAGATTATTTAATAAAAAATCTATCTAGATACAGATACAGATACCACATTTTAATATCTAGATACAGGTGCAAATTAGTGATAAAGAATGAATGCCCTTTAACTTAACTTAACTTCAACTAGAAGACAAATACCAATTATTTTATATTATAAATTAAATGTCAAATTATAGATATGCCTTTTTTTTATAAATCAAATCCCTCCATATTAACATCTGGCATCAGGCCTTAGTCCTTCTTATAAAGTTTAAAGTAATTCAAAAATTTTAATATTAAAATTGAACAAATGCAGTACATAAAAAAATTACATTTTTAAAGACAAAACTATTTTCAAACGAGGTTGAGACTAGGGCTATAAATACATTATTTTAATAAACGTAATACATTTCAATATTATTAATCAAATGCGACTTTATTAAAATATCTCTATCCATATACAGTTCAAAACCACGTCTATCCAAGAAAATAAATTTACATAGTAACATGCTAAAATAATCGAAAGTCGTATTAACTATTGGATTATATCTAAACATCCGTCTGTTTAGCCGTCTATATTGCCTGCTCCCACCAAAAAATGAAGAAAAACGGCTATTATGATTTACCATGCCTTTGTTTTATTTGTACACAGAAGAAAAAAATATAAATAACGAGTATATTATATTATTTAATGTGTACAAAAATAAACCGGAAAAGGGCACAAAGGGCTGAATAGCCTAGGATCCAAGCGTCCCCACAGCCTGAAACTATTTATAAATGTATCACTTAGACCAATTTTTAGAATATTTTATTCATGCATCATGTTAAATAGGGATAAATATTGGGGAGAGGGGAGAAAATCCTTCGCAAGGATTCCCTTTTTAGCGATAAGAAAAACAGTTAGAACCGCGAATTCACGGCGAGGTATACCAAAATTAAGGCAAACTATTTAAATTTTATATCGTATTTTGCATACTTCACCAAGAATGCGCGTTAAATGTGAATGCAGGGTTATACAACAAATAAATAGGCAGTAGAGCGAAGACACAGGATTTTATATATATTTTATTTCTTCACGAATTTTGGCCTCATTTGATTAGGCTCATGGTAATTATGGAATTTTTTTTTGTTATATAGGATTATTTGATTTACCCTTTTGCATTTCATTAAATATTCGATGACAGAAATAATCTATGTTGTTAATATTATATTTTATTTTTTAATTTTATTTATCTAAACATATTTTATTTATTTTTTATTTGTCATAAATTTTGGCAAGGTTACTACACTTGAAATTGAAAATTAAATTAGAACTTTGCGCTGATTAAAATAATTTTTTTTTAAAAAAGATACAAACATGCAAATGAAATATCAAATTAAATGTATAATATTAATTAATTTTAAATTAAATAATAAATTTTTTTGGTTTTAGTTTTTGTGCCTAAATGTAGAATTTAATGTGGTAAAAATTAGCATTCAACGTTATAATTCCAATCGCATTTATAATTGAGGGTATTGTAAGCGGTTCCATAAGGACACGTGAATTGATGAGATCGGCCCCATTCACAGGCATAGAACAATTGGCATTTCGTGGCCTGGTCAGCATATAATCCGTTTTCTTTATCGTTGCAAAATCCACCGAATCCTAAATCTTTTTCCAGCATTACGTTCTAATGGAAAGTTTTTATTAAAAAGTGTTTTTTTTGTAAGAAAATAAATATTTCGCATAGTAATCAGTTTTTTTTCTTTTTTCTACTGAAATAAAATTTTGTTATTTTCTAAATATTTGAGGCTTAAGAAATTATTTTTTTTTTTACTAAAATATATCTTATGAAGAATTATTATTTTAAAACGGGAAGAAAATTTAATTAACTAAACTTAATGCCCGACATCAATGGCTTATAGGGTTTTCGCTAAGATTTTACGGCAAATAGAATTGAGGCTGTATAGAAATATATGCTTGGAATTTTATTTAGCAGCCCCATCATGTTCTTAACTTTTGCATTCACCCTTTCTACATTTATTTCTCAGTCTTAACTAGGAAGTAATATCTACTTATTATAAACTGAAAACTTAATGTAATTTTATTTTTCTTCAAAAAATAAACTTTTATAAATAAAAAAAAAATATTGCCAATATATTCGCTGTTTATAAAAAAAAAATTACCTTATTTTTGTGCAGAAATTGAATTAATCATTTTTTTAACGTGAGGTTTCGTTGATATATGACAAAATTAACTTCCCTGGGGGAAAAATTAAGAAAAATGGCTTCTTCAGTTAAAATAATTATATCCAAAAGCATTAATCATAACAGGATAAATTGGTTGGTTGTTAGAGATGAGTTAGCTTTGGAATTAGCAAGTATTTTATCAAATGTAGTTTTGAAACCACAAGCATTAGGAATCTGATAAAATTGCCAAGGTATTGTCCTATACCGATTCAAATCCGAGTTTATATTTTATTCACTCTAGGTATATATATTTTTTTAAACCCGATGCGTATTTTAAATTTTAGAAATAGATCTTACTTCGATAAGATCCTTTGGTGTTGTTCGTCAAGGAAATATTTGTATATAAGATTAGGAGAATAAAATAAAACCAATATAGAAGTTCAAGTCCAGCCCGTACGAATTAATATATTAAAAAACACGGAATCCAAAAGAAGATCTGTCCGAGTTTGAGGCAAGCAGAGATGAATTAGATTTTTATTTTTAAAAGCATTTATCAGGTTTAACAAAATCAACACAATAGCGTCACTAAAAGGTTGGGGAAATCTCTAAAATATAATATTATAAGATTATATATCCCAAAGCCATTTCAGAACGTTTTTAAGGCGGTTTTCTAGGCATGTTTCGAACAATTTATTTATTCCCATACAAAAAGATAATATTTAGTCTATAATATAATATTATTTAAAAATAGTGCTGCTAAATCGCTCGATTTGAGCTAAATTTTTAAAAACAACCGCTAATTCAATGTTTTAACCAGGAAAATATTTGCCTAAGTCTTGAGATTTTTCTGATAGATGTCTCAAACCTTGGGGCTATATATTTGAGCAAAATTTTCGAACTTTAAATTCCTTGATATATAGTCTTCTATTATCACATTTATATTTTTTCTGGATAAAATATTTAATTATCCTTTTTTGAAAATCGACTCATCTAGAGGTATAACAACACGACCCCATTCTTAATTAGAATTTTTAAAAAGAATCCAGATTATTATCCTTTGTTTGGAATATCTGAGTAATATGCCTAGAAAAACAGCTTTGGAAAAAAAACATTCTGCCTGGAAATAGCTTTAAGATCATTTTGAGCGAAAATTTTTGAATATGTTTTTTTTCTTCATTAGTGATTTAAGAATTATATTTAGATTAGATAAAATATAAATTTTTTAACATCCAAGAAAAAAAAAATCCTTGATTACATTGAATGCCCAGATCAAATAATGCCTAAAAATCAGCTTTAAAATTGAATATGATGCCTATATAATATTTATTTATAGACTATATACTAAGAAGTTCGCTTTAATTATTATATATATTTTTAGTCAGCAACCTAATTAAATTTGGGCAAGAATTATTGAAATAATTGGGTTGTATATTCAAAATTCATTAATTTATGATAATTTCTATATATTTACTAAAAAAACCGTTTTAAATACATTCTACCTTATATACGATTTTAAATAGAATTCAAAAAAAAGACTTAAGTTAGGTGGTTAAAATACAATGATGTATTATTGCTAGATTGACGATTCATTAATTAAAAGTGTCCTTAAATAGGACTCAGCTGTAGCGCAGTTTTGATTCGATTAATTATCCTTATTTATCATTATATGTGTTATAAGTATGAATTATAATTTTTATATTATGCATTGGTTTTTTAAAAATATAATTAAAATTTGAAATATTTTTTTTTCGTCGGTTATTTTAATTAAATGTATGTTGTATTTTGATAAAAGTATAATTTTATACGGTTAAGTTACCACGAATTAGAAAAATATACGCAATTTAATGTCATTTAATCGTCGAGCAAACCACAAA